ACAAATGAAAATAAATTTGTCAAAAAGAATACACACTGCAAAGAAACAAAAAACAATTCTCATAAATTATTTTCCACTACCCATATGTATGGGAATTAAAGGGATAAAAAAAAAATAAAAAATATTCAACAATACTTAAGAAATCACAAAAATTTGCATTTTAAAACAAAACAAATAAATCAAAAAAGTACAACAATTAAAGAAAGTAAAATATTCAATTTCTTATTTTGGGAGAAAAAAAAAATACCTAGCTATTGTTTATTTTTTGAAATATTGAGATATAATTTATAAAATGGAAAATCCATTATGAAAATTAAACAATGAAAACTATATATGCAATGACCACCCACATCAAATCGATTTATATTGATAATCAAAAAAAATCATGTATATGTGTGTATAACAAACCATAACCGACTGCATATGTACATGGAACGCAATGTTTAATGAATTCTGCATTAAGAAATTCATAAAAACAAAAAAAAATTTTGATTGCATACATAAATAAAAATTCACCTAATTTATTCATTTACAAAGGGATCTACAAAAAGAAAAATTTATTACAAATCTTGTTCGAAATGTTCGATATTTTTAAATAAAGTAAAACAATTTTAAAATTTTCAAAATTTTGTTATTCTTTTTGTAATTTTCATTACAATTAAACAGAAAATATATCTAACAATCTCTAATCTATTGATATTATCTAGACAGATTGTGATACATATATTTTATTTGCATTATATCAGAGATGAATTATTAATTGTTAAAATTTTCTAATATTAAAAGGTTTTAATAAGTTTATAAGGTTAAGTATACAAAAAAAAGTTTTATCAAAATGAAAGCTGATAACACTCTAACTCAGACCTTATTTTCTAGATTGAAAAATAAAATTTAGATAAAAATTTTCTTCAACACTACATTTATGAAATATACGATTGCGTTCTGTAATCTAGACCTCGTTGCATAAAAACCGAATTTTTAATTATTTCTTTTTTTAATAGCAGTAAATATTAAAATAAATGCGACTCTGTGTAGAAACAAAATATTTTATTGTATGCAGTTGATTAATTTTCTTTGCACTATTTCAATTTTTAAATATATACGTACATGCGCACAATAGTACAGTACTCTAATGTCTGCTTCATTTAAAGTGTGGGACGTATATCAAAACAACTAAAACTGATATAAATTTTTTATTCTAACAACTATAACAATAATTATTATAATTTTCATATTTTGCAAATTGAATGACAAACAAATCGATATACAATGTTTATGCATTATTAGTCCACAACATACACACACAGTCATATGCTGAACCCAATATTTTACTAATTATTATCGTGTCAAAAAAATATGTAATAATAATAAAATAAATAATGTATCCTTATAATTAGATTAAAAAGTAGGTGGCCGTCTAATCAAAACTAATTTGCAAAAATATGTTAACTGTTGGCAAATTCATGTTATACAATATCGAAATTGCTTTGTATTCACAATTAAAACTTAAAAAAGGAAACTAAGTACAATATTTCGAATCAATAGAGAAATTTAATATACTGTAATATTATTTTTTAAAAATTTACAAAACCAACTGTCGTTCCAAACTGTTCTAAATATGAATTAGCCTCATATTAATACTAAGATTTAAAAGCAAGTGTTTACATAAAATGTTTCATTGTTTATTCGTACTCATCTCTTCTTTCTTTTTTTCTAAAATAATTTCACGTATTTCAAGAATTTGTAAAAGGACCTAACAGGAAAAACTAATATGCCCATTCAGCAACTCTAAATATTTTTTATTTCAAAAAGGAATATTTTAATCTTTCAAATTACTGTAGACCATAAAAATAAATTTAATTATATTCAAACATTCTTATATTCTTTTGTTAAAAATTAAAACTTAGTGCTTTTAAGATTACTATTATCATATATAATGAGCAGTTTCACATAACATAAGGTTAAATTAATTCGCAATGCACATGTTTACATATTAAAGTAATCAAAAATGATATCTTGTTCTTTAGTTTTCCTATACATACATAATTTTTTTTTTCAGACTTTATCTCAACGCCCTACATCATATTGAAATATTTTTAACCTAATCAAAAAAATCCAAAAATAAAAAATAATTCAATGAATAATCTTTAAATCCAAAACAATAAGACTTCAATTAAAATTTTAACTTGAACTGTTGAATCGGCAAAGAACCGGAAAAAATCTACAAAAAAAAATAAAAATTAAAAAATATAAATAATTTTTTTTTTCAGATTCATTGTGAAATTTTTACATTTTGTAATAATTTTTTAAAAAACATATTATTGTGGATTCAAGCGAATTCGAAAATGCGGTGGTGTTATTGGTGTTGATGCAATTCTTATGTTTAAATAATCATTACATATATTTTTTTTTCTTCTATCTCTTTTCTTTACAATTTTAATTTTTTAAAATAAATTTTAATTTCAATAAATGAAAAAAATACACAAAACAAATGCTATTTTTTCTCTGACTGGTTGCATTCAGCTATCAGAACGCATTAAAGAAATCTCAAAATTAAAGCACAGTTTCCACCTACTCGAAAGTGAATTTTTAATTTTTTTCTCATTTTGTTGTTATCTTTTTTAATGAAAATTTTCCAAAATATTCTTTTCTTGGTTTTCTTTTCTTTCTCGTTTTAATTCTTTGTTCAGCTGTTTTGAATTTTTGATATTCGAAATGATTATACTACTTAAACATAGTTTCGGTTTCAGTACACATAATATTATTATGAAAAAGTGCTGCCGTGTACACGCAAATCCGAATCATTCAATACAGAACTATTATTTAAGTGCACCTGCTGCCACCATATTTATATGAGAACCATTCAACTTTTAAATAAAACCTATACTAAAGATATTTTAGTTGGTTTACACTATTAAATTTATCTTAAACGTTTGTCTCCGGTCAAGTTCGAAGAAAATTCTTTTAAATTTTTAATTTATAATAATAAAGGTTCAAAATCATAGCAACAAACGTACTATTTAAAAACCAGTTATACTTTTAGTTCTTTAGTCCGTTAGGTGTTTTTCAATCTCCTGTCAATCTTGTTCCTCTCCTCGCATTGCATACTTAAAGCCCTGCTTAATACATTAAATTTATAAGGGTATTAAACTAAAATTAAAATGATCAAACTATTAAAAATTTTTTATCAAATTAATTAAATTTTTAAATTTCTAAAAAAATATTTGGCAACACTAACAAAATATAAATAATAAGTTAAAATATTTTATTATACAGTTGACGGTTTAAATGATATAAAATAACATAAAATAACGGTAGATAAGTAGGTAGAATATTGTTATGTTGTTTATATGCCCCAGCCCGATAATATACACCAATAGGAGGTGAGAAATCAAAAAGTACGTCTACAGCATATCGTATAATGCACGTATTTAAATGCGCCATAACAACGCCTACAGTTTAATAATGGTATATAGAGAATTCGTTACTTTTTTTCTATTATTTTTTTTATTTATATGATATCCCTTTTTATTTATAATATAATATAATATATGGGATTTTGAATAAACCAACTAGATTGAAAATATTACGGCTAGGTTATTTTTGGTATAGTCAAGAAAATACAATGTACATACGTCGACGGATGTGACTGTTTATTTTTTATTTAATATAATAAAAATTTCAGATGTGTAATTAATTTCGAATTCCAGTTATAAAACCTACAAAAAATTCTTCAAAACCCAATATCAGTAATTTTTTAATATAATGACTTGAAAATTTTGAAGAGTTTTGAGCAGTTTCGAGACAAAATTTACAATACGAAAATTCAAAATTAAAAATAAAATTAAGTTTTAACTATTTTAACAAATAATTCAAAGTTTTTGTTTTCATAATTCATTTACTTACATAAATATAATTTTTTTTGTATTGATATCCTAAAGCTTTATTAATAAATTAATCTTTCATTCACTTCCTAGCCATAAAATATTGTCATGGTTGTTGTTTTAGAGCTTGTGTTGTTTTATAACTTCTTATATACAATTATCAACCAAACACCTCTTTATATGATATCAACTTGAAAATAATCATTTTCTTGTAAAAAAAAATCTTTTCGATTAATTCATTCGAAAGTCACATTTCTTGTTACTCCTGGTGTATTTTTTTGTCATCTTCTCTGTAAAAACTGTTGATCAAACGTAACGTTGATTTTGTTTTGCTATACGCGCACAATTACATTGGTCTGTCTTACTTATTTCGTTATTGTTTTGCTTATTTATTAATCAAAAAAAAAATAATATAAGATGGAAAATATGTGGATAATTTATGATCTTGCTAAAGGTGTAAAGATAAAAAATTTGTTGATAGACACTGCAAGAAAAAAATATATTATTTATCTAGTGTTATTTTTATTTGCAAAAAATATAAGTATGTAATTTGGTTATATATTTGATATATGTATATATATAAGCATAAAATATTATATAGGCCTAATAAAAAAATACAGTTTTTCATTAATGCTTTAGAGCAAATTTATGTCTTGTTATACTTTTTAAATTAATAAATTTATATTATGATATCAGGCAGCTGTAATGTTACAAATTTCTAAAAATTCAAATATTAATTTAACAAAATTGTGTTTATAACCTGTAAAGTATATATAGTAAAATAACTTATAGTAAAATTTACTTTAAAGATCCTCTTTATTTTGGTTTAAAAATTTTTAATAACTAGTTAACGCAAAAATATTCGGAATTTTATTACAATTCCATAATTACGTATTACACTACGAAGCCAATACTGAATACCCAAGAAATAAACTGAGGAAGTAATTAAGAATATGTGTATACAAAATAAGTGTTATTGTCTTGTCTAATGTAAACTTGACTTAGATCTGCATTTTCGTAGACGCCCTATTAAGTAAAACTACTCTAAAATATTACTGTTTAGCTTTAAATCTTAATTCAATTAAAAATATTAATTTTAATTTTTTATTCTTACAGGTAAGTTAACATTTTGAATACAATTCAAGTTGACTTTGCATATCTTAAAAAGTACAATTCCATTACAATACAACAATTATATAATTTTCGGTAAGTGAAAATTTTAAAATTTTAATAAATTCTAACCAATAAAGTACTTTAACCAAAGAAACCTACATTCAATTTTTTCTATAAAACAGCACAAATCAATAACAAAATAAACCTAAAAAAAATAATTTTATTATATGAATTAATTTCAATCCCATTTAAATTTTAAAATGCATTAATTGCTCTACATTGAATTATTTAATTATTTTTTTAAAATTATTAATAATGAAACTGAACTGAAGATGAGCTAAAAATAAAAGTGAATAAGAAAATTGATAAAAAAAGAAACGCGTTTTAATTAAATTAAAAAAATGAAATATAACGTGTAATAAAATTTGTAAACATTAATCAAATTGCTTTATTTTTCTACATTTTCTGCTTTTTTATTTTCACTGAATTCCCTTGATCTGGAAGGTTGGAATAATTAATAATTATATAAGTTTTAATTACTTCAATTTAAATTTATTTAGAGTAAAGTTGATTAAGTTAAGACAAAAGAAAAAAGATTAATTGCTGTGTGAGATAAAGTAATTATGAATGTAATTTGTAATTACTGTTTCGTTGTAAAATTAACTTCGCATGATATGTACATCTTGCTTCTGCATCAATAATGGAAAATATATTTAAAATGTAAAGCAAATTAAAAAAGCTGCACTAATTTGATGTAATTTGAAGTTAAAAACTGATACTTTACAAATGATTTATCCAAATTTTCATGTCGATTTTCTAATAATACCAATTTGCTAATAGAAATAATAACATCAAAATTTGCTAATAAAATAATAACATAAAAAGTTCGGGTAATAATAACATAAGAGATTCTGTTCCTGACATCCAAGTTTCACAAAAGTTAAACAACTTCTGTTACACTCTAACAAAGTTTTTATTTAAAATTTCGCAGTTAAAAATACAAAACGACAAATGACTCTATATCACGATCCTAATTGTGATTCCGAATTGTACGAAAAGTTAACGAATCCCGGCTTACTACGCTGCAATATAGAGTTTTAAAGAAAATCACCAAGTAACGACCAACATCAGCAGCTATCATTTCATCGAAATATACTTCCTACAAAAAAAAGCATTGGTTTTAATTGTATACTTACACATCTCGAGTTTTTTTCCATTTCCAACTTTGTTTTAATCTTGAGCTTTAAAACTCCATTGGTCAGCAACAATATGGAATTTTTCAATTTTGTAAAAATTTGTTTTTGTAACAATCTTTGGTTTTTTACAAAAAACTGTTATGTAATCATATTCTTCTTAACTGCTACATCTCGAAACCAAACACATAGCTTAAGTTTTGCCTTTAAAATTAATTAATTTCCATGTTACAACTACATAATTCATTCTTGTTAAATAGGATTTCCTAAAAAAAAAAAAAAACAAAATAAATTTTATTTGAATATAAAAAATTTGATTTGACTTTAAAAACTCCCCAGACAAGAATTTATGCATAAAAAGTAAATAAATTTTTTTTTTTTAGTTTTCGTATTGAAAAATTGAAATCTTAAAATTTCTCCTATCCATAAATTTTTTGAACTCAATATTGCTAAGATAAAAAGAAATTATTTTACAATAACAAAAATAGAATTTTCTAGTGTAACCAAATTCACATTCCGTTTCAATCAAACTAAAATGGTTTAGTTTCTTCCTATTTACATGAAAATATCAACTTTAAAAAGTTTAAATAAACCAAAAAAGCCCCCCTATAATCATTACCACCCATATAAAAATGCACCTGGTCATGCCACTTTTCTCCTGTTTTTATTTTTTTTTTTATTATTTTTGGTTCATTCTTGTCGCTGTTGTTACCTCCTGAAATTCATGTTATGGTATGAATTCAATTATAATACTTTAATAATATGGTAAACGCATAAAATTATGTGGATACTAGCATATACACATAAAAACACAAAATATTACAAGAGAACTTTATGTTAGAAAAAAATTCATTTTAGAAATTAGAATATCAAATTCAAAAGACCTGTCAGTGAAACACCACTATTTTGATGATTTAATATTGGTCGGTTGTGACAGGTATATGTTGTTGTTAAAATTGCCGGTAGCAAAGTGATGAAACAAATTAATATTCTTTATCCACTTGCTCATCATTTTTGTTTTTTTCGTTTTTAATTTTTGAGCCCCCATCTAAAAAAAATTGTTAGTATATTTTTTCTCTGGTTTATGTTATTTAAATGTGCGAAAATATAATTTTTTATACAAAACGCGGAAAATTCAATAATCCTAAATTGTATTTCATTGGTTATTAAGTGATGGAATGAATCAAATACCAAATTTCGCATTTGAAAAAAAAATTAATTACTTCTATGATTTAAAAATTAATTACTTATAAGATTTAAGAAAGTGAATTTTTATATTCGAAAATAAACCTTAAAACTTTTCTAATTTAAACAATACAATATCAAAACAATCAATCACTATCTTAAACAGTAAATCACTTATTTCTGACTAATACTACTTGTATCTAATTTTTACTACTACGCTAAGAACTGAAAACAGAACTGAATTCTTATTCTCAAATTTAAAAGTCAATAAGTCAATTTTTTTGATTCCAGTATAGTACGCAGCTTCATTCTGCTAAAACCAAATCTCTTGTAGATCAATTTTATCTTTATTTAAAAAAAAAATTACTAGTCAATACGTGGAAACGATCTCCATTGAATATAACGCTCAAGCCTCATTTTAGTATAAATAACATGCAATGATACTAATAGGGTGCAAGTTCCATGGATCTCAACGGAATAGGCAATCCCCTACTAAGCTTTCAAAGGAAATAAACGCATCTCCGATATCAAAAATTAAGTAATTCAGCTAAATATCCTTTGTGATTTTCTAAAAAATGCTCATCACCTAAAATAAATAAAATTTTAATTTAGTCACTTTTTACTCCTTGGTACAACATATTAAAAACATTTACGTATAATACATGCTCACATTCACATGTACTCGTTAATATTATTAATCTGACCATTAGCTATCCCACTAGTTGACTTCATTTCAAAATATTTTTTTAAGTTTTTTTTTGCTTTTTTAGTGTTTCTTATACTCCTGTTTATTACAATGCTCTTTTCATTCTTTTTTTATTAATAAAAACGCGTAATGGTATGGAATAGAAATTTTATTTTTCCTTTGAAATGTGGTTGCAAGTAGTTGGCGCTACCACTCCCCTAATTTATTGAATTTTTTCGTAACATTTTTTCGCCTCTTGTTTTCATTTTGTGCTATTTTTTTTTACATATTATCTGCCTCTATATGTTTCTTTAACATTCGAATACAAAAATAAAACATAAAAAATAAGCATTTAAACAAAATTGTTGTGTACCATATATAATTTTTCGTGTTTTCAAAAACATTTTAATTTTCAACTTTTCTTGCTAGTTACATAAATTTTTCCAACATTTTCCTTACTATATATAGAGGACAGAATATATACATAGCGATACATTATATTTATATGCGAGTATGAGCGTATTAAAAAGGAAAACTTTATAATTCTAAATAAAAATGTGAAAGAATTTTTTCTGACATCACTTTAATAATAATTTAGAATTTCCACCATACATACGAGTACATAATATATTTCAAAAGAAAATAGAATTGATAATATTAATATGATGATCATGATAATGATAGTGATAATGTTGGAAAAACCGCAATATACGTAGTGGTCTGTGGGGCCATTAAAATTTTTATTAAGTAATCTACAAAACTTGCATATAATGTGATAAAAATGTAAATATTATTTGACAATTCTTAATTATTGATGATTTCCCAGTATGATAAATCAGTATCAATGAAAATCTCTTACAAATTTTGAAAATAATTATAGTATTTTCGAAAAATAAAAATTTAACATGCAAAAGCAAAGCTTAAAACTACTTATCTTGTTATTTCTAAAGCAAATGGAAAGATAATACTACAAGAGCTTTAATAATTTTCAAATTAATTGGGTTCATTTCAACTTACACACCAACTGTATATTAGAAACTAGAAAAAATTGATATAGTTTATAAAAAATTTTCAGTTCCCTCTGGAGAAGAGCGACAATAATTTCTATTGTGAATTAAAAAATTAAGAAACGAAGCTATGACAATTTTCATACAGAAAAAGATTAATAGTATTTTTATTAAATCTAAACTTAATTTTTATTAAATTTAGTTCGTTTAAATTATTTTTTCACTGTTTAAACGCTTTTCAACCAGATAAGTTTAATTCAGCCTTTCTATAACATTTTTTCCCTAATAAAATTGTTCAAAATTGGATCTCTGAAATTAACAATTTTTGAATTTTCCTCTTATTTTTAAAATTTTGCCCATTTATTTGATGACCCTAATTTTATTTCAATTTAATTTCCAATTAAATATTGTCATAAAATACAATGCATTGTCTATTTGCATATATTTTCTAATTCAACTATAATTTTATTACCATAGACAAGGAAAAGAAAATTGACTCTTATCTTAACTTCTCTAATTCAATATTTATTTAATCACTTTTCAAATTTTTTGGATATTTTAGGCAATATTATTGTAATACTTATACTGAACAGATGTGAGTTTTAAATTTCTGTTTAACAAATAAATTTCTTTTCTATTATTTCAGGAAAATTAATACATATTTGAAAATTTAATGACATTCTTATGTTATACAATATTGATTTGATATTAAATTGTTTATCAAAGGATCAAATATTTGCGTGTCTATTATGTGCAAAACATTATAAAAATTTTATGGTCAAGTCAACATAGTATAAGTAAAAATGATATTATTAATCATTTGGAATTGAAATGTCCTGAAATGGAATCAGGAAACATAAACTAACAATGCATAAGAGGACAAAAAAAAAACAAATAAAATGTCCTAGCAAAAAAAATAGATTAGCTTTGGTTTTATGTAATTTTCATTCGCAATATTTAGAGCAAAAATGTATTTGAAACTCAAACATAATATTACACAACCGAAAATTATCAAAACAAAGGACAATTAAATAATATACTACTAAATTTCCTTGTTGTTACAAAATATAATTTAAACTATTGAACAAAATAGAATAATAAAAG